TGAAGGACACCTCAAACGAATGACCTGACCAGCCCAGCCTCTGGACCTCAAGGCCAGAGAACTTGTGTGGGAAGAACTGGACACAAGAGTCAAGGCGAACCAGCCCCCCCCTCCCCCCCCCACATCTTGGGTAATTGCTGCAGAAATGCTGGGAAGACAAGTTGGGAAATTTCCTACTGAAACATCTTAAGTAAATGCTGCCTAGTGATTATGAAACTATTATAAAAGGCAAAATAGATTTTTTGAGAAAATCTAAATTTCAGTTTTGTATGACATTGCTTTGATATGATGTTTTTTTATGCGTTATAATGTATTTTCAAACATTTTAAAGCTCCATTAAATTTATATAGCCGAGTTGGGGGATAGCAGTAAATTTCTGACATTTGGCCTAATTTGCCCTGTCCCAAGGTGTTTGGAGAATCAGCTGTATTTTTTGACAAACGTTTGTAACATGGCTTTGCGGAGTGGTGTATGTAGAATCACTATTATTTTTTCGATGAAGTGGTGAACTTCTACCACCAGACTATCAAATCCACCCAATTATATGGCTTGATGGAGATGTAGTTGTGCTTTTTTAGAATCACTGGTGCTACTATATGTAGCAGTAGTAGTATTAGCAGCAGCAGTAGTAGTAGTAGTAGTAGTAGTAGTAGTGTGTGATGGGCTAGTTACATTGCTTGGATTATTATCATAGGTATACAGTATATGTTGGAGTAGTAGTAGTAGTAGGAGGAGGAGGACGGGAGGTGGTAGTGGGCTGTAGTGGAGTAGTAGTAGGTGGAGGACGGGAGGTGGTAGTGGGCTGTGGAGTAGTAGTAGGAGGATGGGAGGTGGTAGTTAGCTGTGGGTAGTAGCAGTAGTAGTAGTAGGAGGAGGATGGGAGGTGATAGTGGGCTGTGTAGTAGTAGCAGTAGTAGTAGTAGGAGGACGGGAAGTGGTAGTGGGCTGTGGAGTAGTTGTGACTGGTGGACCCGTGGTGATCTCTTATATTCTTGGGCTAATCAGATACATTCCAACGCCCCGGGGCCATAATCTTACCCCTTTAGTTTACATTATGACTGTGTCAAAATTATCTAGGTACTTACTGATTTTATATTAATGTCATTTTCAGTTGTGTGTGTAACTGCTTTTGTTTATTACTAGTAAGTAAAAAAAAGTCCACACTTAAATTATTACGTATTGTTATTTATTCTTCCTTATGAGCTATAAATATTTACCTAAAAATAATAGTAATATAAACTACAGTATTTCCCTCAAAGTTTCGATTCCCATATATTATTTACAATCATTTGGTTTCACAGTTTGGATTTCAAGAAGAAAAAAATACACTTATTATTAAAGACCTTACAAATAAATCTGAACCAGGACAAAATGAATAATTGTTATAACCAACATGACCAGGATAAAAAAAAAAACAATTTAGCACCTTTCAAAAAAAAAAACCTCGCATTAATTTACATGAACTTACTGCACCAGTGCATCGCAATGCTTTCGTGTCAGTTTAGTCCAGTCAGTCGATATTGTCTTGGTTTCATCTGTTTCGTGTCATTATTTTCTTAAGTTTATCTGAAATCCAGCGATGCACGTTCAGTTTCCAGCCAAATCCTGGCAAAAGGCGTAATGGTTCCCCTCCTTTCCGATTCAATGTCCGCAAGTGTCTCTCAGGATTTGGGACGACAGCCTGCATGTCGCAGGTTACAAAATCATTAAACTATCTATTTTACTTTACTCTTGTATCACACAAACTATCTCTTTAATACGATTTGGTTTCATAACCAAAACCACCAAAACCATTCAAAAATGAGAGATGAGTTTCGGAATCAAAGTGTTTTTCTGCAAGATTTAAGTAATATTTTAATAATTAGTATTCAAGCGGTGAATGTTGCTGGCGATTCAGTGCAGGACTATCTGTGGTCTGAAAAGGCGGGACACATATTTGTAATCCAGCACAACAACAGTTTATTTTTTGACAGAGCAGTCATAGAAAAACAGCTGAGTGACAAAATGCTGTACCTGTTTTCTGCACATCTCTGGCCACCAAACAGGACAGGAACAAACTACAACGGAGTCAGGACTGCCGAAAAAAACTCACTGGTGCTGACCAGCCCTCCATTCAAGAGGTATATAATCTCTAACAGCACCCCTAGTGGTAGGGAGGCCCCTGACTCTGCTTTGTTTTCATTTAGTGATGCCAGGTTTGATAAAAGCTGTAAAACTCGGTGCTATCCACATCTCAGACGCTTAAGTCAATAAGAATTTCGTGGCTAGGAAAAATGTGAAAGAGTATCTTGCAAAATACTGCAAAACATACTGCTCCTGTTTTCTGTCCTTTCAGTAACCAATTTATTGGAATGTGCAAGTTACATGTGTAAATAAGACAATCACACTAACACTTTGCCCAAACACTGCATCAGTTAACTTTTAAAACAGTTTAGTTTTTCTTTTCTCTATAGTGCTATATCACGTCACAATTCAAGTTAATCCAAACACAGGAACCTAAAGCAGAGCAGAAATACACCAGGTGGATGCAGAAGTCAAGTGACACAAAAATAATAATGATTGAAAGTAATATTATAAAATTTAATCAAAAAGTAAGTTTCAGAAATGCAAAGACATTTTTCCATAAGCCTGTTATGCTGATTTTAAAGTACTGTATGGTGCAATCAAGCTAGTTTCAGCTTCTGTGAATGCAACAAATTAAATAAGGAAGGACACTGGGTTCAGTACAAACAGAGTTAACTTTGCAGTGGAAATACTGTTGAGTGATAGAAACCACATATATAAATGACACACTCTGTGTCTACATACATGAACTCGTTAAAGGTACAGAGTCCTCGATTTATAATGAATGTGAAACATAAATTGGCGTATTGTGCAGTTACGTTTGGAGATATGATACCGGTCAAAACCTTGAGTACATATGCTTGTATTTTACATAATTATCCAGACAGTGAATGTCAGAGGAATGAAATTGGCCATATGGACTGATGAGCCAACGATGGAAAGATCCAGGTCCAACTGCAGTGTGTTTGTCTGACACAGAGAGAGTGAGAGGATAATCTCAGCGTGTGTGATTCCCACTGCAAGGCATGGAGGAGGCAGTGTCACTGTTTGGGGTTATTTTACTGACTGGGTTGGTTGTCTTCGTTAAATCTATAAGAATGGTAAGTAGTACAGTTATCATAGCAAGCCTGACAGGAACATCATGCCGTCAGGCTTAGTGGGCAGTCCGTCAATCTGCAGCAAGATACCGAACCAGAACACAGCTTATAATTGTGCAGAAACTATCTGGTGATGAAGGAAAGTGAAGGACACCTCAAACGAATGACCTGACCAGCCCAGCCAGAACTTGTGTGGGAAGAACTGGACACAAGAGTCAAGGTGAACCAGCCTCCCCCCCAGGGAACTGCTGCAGATATACTGGGAAGACCTGAACACTTTTATCTTATCTTATCTTATCTTATCGAGGCAAAAAGGCTTTTTGCAGAATCCAAGATTTAGTGGGAATTTTCAGTTTTATTGAATACTGCTTTGTTACTCATGTTTATATATATATATATAATAACGCATTTTCATGAAATTACAAAAATATATGTTGTAAAACATTGTCCATTATGAAAAAACCCTAGTTTCAGGCAAGTGTACTCAAACTTTTGTCTGGTACTATAGATCAGAATGACAAGGAATATGACAACAAAATCAGAATGACAACAGAAATAAATTTCCTTCTTTCTTTGATGAGGTGAAATCACTTGTGGACTCTGGTGTAGTGAATTGGCAAAATAATTTGTGTATTTTTCTTCCACACGCCAGTATTACAAGTGTATGGAAAATGGATGGATGTATGTATGGATGGGTGTAACAATGGCTGGATCCAAAGCACAATGATCTGCTTGTACGAACTGCTGCCCTTTGGTAGTAAAGCAACCGATTTAAAAGGGAAACTTTCAGCAAAAACACGTATCATATAGTGTGGGTGACAGCCTGAGCTAACCAATCCTGTTTATATTCAAATCTATTGCCATTTTTGGATGCGAATATGGTCACACCCAATTCTTATTGAAATCCCTCAAACTAAATTGATAGCAGCTTTTTCAATTTTGTCAAATCAACACTACCTCCCTTTTGGATTTCGGAGATATCAGCAAATCCCGTGCACATTTTGGCACCAGTTGCCCCGCCCCCTGGCCCCCGTCCCTTCAGACTACGTCGGCAGGAAGGAAGGCAGGCTGGACTGGACTCTCCTAGGACTCAGTTTCACTGTCCATTTCAGCTGGCGCCACCTGGGGCTCGTCGATCGTTATAGAGGGAGTTTCCGGCGTTTGCGTTCTTGGGCTGGAGACAATCACCTGACGATGAGGGGGGTAATTAAGGAGAGAATAAGAGAAAAATTAATTATACATACAGATATTCACATTTAATCATATTGTAGTTCCCACTAACATCAGCAGGTGGCATAGTGGTTAAAGGCAGGTCCTATATCCTATATCATCCTTGATCAAAGTCCTCAAAGCAAATTCCACCAGTGCACCAACCACCTATATTAAACAAGTTCAAACTGTAGCCCACATATGGTGAAACTATCAGGTAAGCATTTTTTTCCCCATTTTACATGAGGATTTATGAAGTGCTGGGCTGTAGAGAGCCTGGAACCTGTCCCAGGTTGCATAGGACATAAAACAAAGCACCTGGGGCTCGTCAGGGACTGCGGCTTCTTCCACGACGGCCTCCGTGGGATCCGGGATGGGGATAGCGGCTGAGGCGGCCGAGGCGGCCGAGGCAGCGGAGGCTGCGGTGGCAGCGGCGGCAGCAGAGGCAGCGGCGGAGGCAGCGACAGCATGACTCTGATGTGTAGGTACTGTCAGGCTACTAACAGCCAGCTGGGGGACCCAGATCGGGGGGGGGGGGTAGAAATTTTATTGTACAAAAAAGTGTAATAACCTTAAGTTGCTGAAGTCATTCATAACAAAATTGTTGAACATGAGAAATTGGTTGTTTTTGCTAAACCCTTGTTGGAAAGTTTACAGAGGAAATTAACAAAGCAAAGTTAAGCGTATCTTAAAGATTAGCTAACCGCGTGACCCTGATGTATAATTTCACCCTGGGGAGGCGCTGCACTACGCTGATTTACCTGGAAACTGCCGTTAGCCAGGGCATTGAGCCCAAACAGCATGGCTACAATGCAGATCACCAGCTCCAGCACCAGGAAGAGGACCAACGTGCCTGTGATCCCGTCGATCAGTTTCTGCGGGAGGCAGCAGAACGGACATGAACCAGGCATGCAGGCGCGTATCAGAAATGACCAGCCGATCTCATCACGGTGCATATGAGGTGTTAAAAAGTCCCTTTCTGCGAAACAGCTTTGTTGGAAAATATTTTTATCTCCCAAGGGGTCTTAACAATGTTTTATTTTGTTGTTCCAAAGTGATATACATTTTTTTGAGAGAGTAAGCAGGGTCAGATAGTCCCTAGAGCAATTGGAGGTCAATGGTCTTGCCAAAGGGCCCAAGAGCGAAATTACTCCACCAACCCGGGGATTTGACCCAACAACCTGCCGATCACAAGTGCAGCGTGCTAACTGGCTGAGCCACACATGGTCCCCACTAGTGATCAATTAATTATTCTTGTTTTATTAATTTAAGATCAACTACGAAAGACAGGGTTTATACTGTGGGGCTTGAGCCAGCTACCCTGCATTCCAACATCCGGGTCTCACATCAGTTCCCGAGCCAATCGGCTGGGTTTGCCGGCGGTGACCGGCACTCACCACAGCAGCGTTCTGCAGCCGGTAGCAGTGCTCACAGTGGTAGGCGTCCTGTTGGTAGGGCAGGTGCTTGGACAGGAGCCCCAGGGCTGCCGTGGCGAAGGCGGCACTTACTAGGTGCAGCACCAGGATGGATTTCAACTAGGGACACATACAGACACACATGTAGCAGCAGGGGAGGGGAGCAGCCATCCACAGCAGAGCTCTGTCCAGTAGGTGAGGGGTTCGACCAGCCCAGGGAAGCTGGGGCTTTGGGGGAAGGGGGGAGCCATGCTATTCGTTTATTGCGGTCAGTGGGTCTAAGATCCTCATTAATTAATTATGAATTAATTATCCTCATAAATTTACATATATTTATTTATATTCTGTGCTTCTGCATGTATGTATTTATTGTTTTTACTGTGTTTATTGCATTTATTTTTGTCTGCATACCCTCATCTGTCGGTCCATACATCTGCACCTTTCATACCACATACAGTTCCTTCTGCATGTTTGTGACTGGCAAATAAACCTTCATTTTGATTCTGATTAGATCTTTACATGGGCTAAGAGGCTTCTAAAAACAGTTAAAAGGGGGCCTATTATGCTCATTTTCACTGTTCATGATTTTATTTTTGGGTTCTACGAGAAGATTTAAATGCGTCAGCGTTTAAACACATTTTCTCATACTGTACGTCTCTATCCACTCTATCGATAACTGTCTCAAACACTCTGTTAGAGCTTTAAGTCCCACCCCTGATGAGCACAGTGTGCTGTGATTGGTCAGCTTGCCTTACACATTGGGCTGCTGTCTTGCAATCTGCAAACAGATCCTTGCAAGTAAGTGGCCAATAAGGATTGTCTTATGAGGTGACCTCACCATGTCACAGAAGTAATGGCCGGAATCCCAACTGCGTGTTTCAGGCAGATTAGAGAAGTGTGGTTCCTGTGGTGAGAGTTACTCCCTTTGCTGTGTACTTTGGGCTGTAAGACTTTGCAGACTGTTTACATGCAAATAAAGGTCTATAACACACTAAAGGAGAAGGAAAACCTGGGAAAGCAGTCATGGTCAGCGCCCGTCCATCCCTGCCCTTCATGCCACTTCCCCGCTTGGCCATCCTGTTCCTCCTCTGTCTTGTAGCCCCTTAGTCCCTAGTGTGTTTGCCTGTTCCCTGGGCCGCTGCGTGACTTAATGGGCATTTTCCCACCCCTCTTTTTTTTTGTGGGTTCAAGGCTGTCCAGAGGCCAGCCTGAATTCATTTGCCTTTTTTTGGTTTAACATATATTTTACAGTCTCTTGCTTTATACGTGTATTTTCCAGTTACAGTTCCTTGTGTTTGCTCCCTGGTTTAATTCTGCTCTTGTATTTATATTCCTAGTGTTGTGAGACTCTGAGTTTAATGTTCTATAGTTTCCTGTGCTTGTTAACTGTAATGTATTCCACCTGTTTCTTGTCCTGTGCATTGCTGATTGGCTAATTAAGTTGTGGTTTTCACCTGTCCAGCATTATGTCCCATTAGTGATGTTTTTAAGTGCCTACGTTTGTTCTGTTCTTTGTGGGTTCATTGTGGCTGTTTCCCTGTGTTGCTATGTGTTTGAGTCATGATAGCTGTCCCCTGTTTGTGTTTGTAGTCTCCCTGTCTTTGCTCCTCGCCTCACGCTCAACGTCGCCTTTCACGACGTGCTCTCTTTATGTTCACCCATGAGGACTGCTTCTTTAATAAACCCATTTCTGTCTTGGAACCATTCTGTTGATCGTCATCTTTTCCCCGCTCGCGCTGTGCCCCACCATAACAAAAGCATAATAGGGCCCCTTTAAGAGAACATTAAAAACTTGCTGCTCAAAAAGATAAATGAATAAAACAAAAAAAAATATCTCCAGAGTCCAGATGCAGGTTTCCCTGATTCTCAACCGACCCCAGGCAGCCATTCAACCACACTGCCCTCCCCGAGGTAGCTGTGTCCGGAACAGGTTACCCCACATGAGCGACTCACCCAGAACACAGCCGGCTTCCTCCCAGCATGCACCAGCACTGTTACCCCACATGAGCGACTCACCCAGAACACAGACGGCTTCCTCCCAGCATGCACCAGCACTGTTACCCCACATGAGCGACTCACCCAGAACACGGACGGCTTCCTCCCAGCATGAACCAGCACTGATCCTGACAGGATGAGCTGCAGGACAAAAGCACATTGACTTCTAATAAAGTCAGACTGTTACAGGTAGAGTCTATTACTATTACAGGTAAAGGCCCGTATTTATGTATTTAAGGGAAACTACTACAATATATAACACTGCATATTCTAGTATTGTACTGAAGTGCTTTCATAAGGAATTATCGAGTTTTACAGTAAGTCAGCATATTAGTATTTAATGAGTGCAGGTGTCCTTTGGCGACATTTTGTTTTTTTAAACCTGGTGACTAAGCATTTTACATGTGCTCAAAGTGATTTTCCTGGGTGAGTCACTATTAACCTATCCCCCCCCACCCCCCCTCCCTTTAAGGCCCCTCAGATAATCCTGTGGCCCGTCCAACATTCGCAAGCTGGAGCTGGGCCTGATCAGTAGCACGTTTGACATACCTGTCCAACAACAACACACAGAACTTTCACATCCCCCGAGAAGTGTATCTCCTGATGAAGCAGCGTTACACTCAGGCAGAGGGTCAGCACTGCAATGATGATCTGGATGGCCTGAGGACAAGTGATTTTAAAAGAAAAAATAATATTATATACTATATTATGGTACAGCGATAATCAAAATGGTGGGACAAGTATGTAGGAATTTTTTCTAAAAATATTCAGGACATTAATCTGACAGCCGTGGCTGACTTCGTAGTCTTCAAATCTGAGGCGCTGCTGCCACCTGCTGTCCATAACTGCACATTGCGTCCACAGTAGGATACAGTATTTACCGAAGACGATAATGACTTTCAAATATCTGCGATGATAGTGATTATATTAACACGTAATAAAAGAAAAACAACAACAACAATAATAATAATAATAAAAATACTCAAACTTACAATAGGAGTTTTTCCACGTTAGTGGCGATTCTATCAACGTACGTATATTGAGGTATATTAATGCTTTTCCAGTTATGGCAATTACATGAATGACACTGAATGGTACAACAGCAGTGTTTTATCGGTTTTGCTGATTATATTAATTATAAAATGGGGAAAACAGCAAATTCTGAAATTCCGAATTTCAGATCATAAGCCGTACTCCCTTTATCACCACACGTGAAATTGCTGACATCCTACCCCAAGAGTTTTGGGTTCCGCCCTCTGGAAAGCTTCCACCTGCCCCTTGCTGAGGGACGGGCCCAGAGGTGTCGGTTCCTCGGAGTCGATGCCCATGTTTTTGTTGAGGGTGTCGCAACTGTATTTATAAATAACTAATAGATAAAAGCAGTGTATGCGATGAGGCGAATGGCAATAAGAGAAACAAAAGCGTAGAGGTAGAAAGGTTTGTTGCTAAGACACAAAGTACTGAAATCAAAATCAATGAGGGATTGACAGTGACAGAATCAAATTAAATAAATAAAATGCGAAAAAGACAAAAGAGATCTTACAAAGACCGACGTAATACATTCGCTGTTGAGAAGACTTGAAAAAGCAATAAGCAATGATTACACGACTTCCTTTAATTGTCCCTTGACTTATGACAGAAATATTAAAGAAACTCTTTTTGAAACCACAATCAGACATACAAGGCATCTGAAAGGCGTACGTTCATGCACGTGCCTGCTAAGCGAAACGGTGTTTAATTCAGCCTAACTAACAATGTCCCAAAAAGCTCAAATTCCACCCCCCCAAAAAAAACCGCTGTATGGCGTCTGCATCTCGGCACGTTTCCGAAGCCGCTTTCTGCGGCACCAGGCACCACCTCGTATGGGTCCCACCGAAAATGCTGCAGATAGGAAATGCTGGACACATGGATAATAGGCTATATGAAAGCAGATGTGCATCGGCCGGACTTTGCCGGTATAACGCCGCAGTACGGTGCAAAACTTCATGCGCAAGTGAAGCATTGGCACCACGGTAAAGACGTGAAGCTTTAACATGCAATGTACGTCACAAAATAGAAAGGCTATTGCAATACATTTTTCTCTTACCTTTCTCCGATTGCACTATATAGGGAATCAGGTGCTATTCTCGTTTAAAACGGGGGACGGAGATAAGGCCAGTCCGCTAAGCGCACCGTAACGTCGCTGCAGGTTTTAATAAATATATAAATGGGCAGTCTGTGAGTGGCGCAGTGCGAGGGTGGGGTGCGATGATACCGCAGCGCTGCAGCATCTCCATCCGGCAGCACTGAGGTAATGGCTTCGGGAAAGTCTCCCTCACTCTCGGAGCCCCTTACCTTTCCGGACAATCACCCAGGCCTGATGCTGCCGGTGCGTTTTGTCTGTCCGTCCGAGCACGACACCCAAAATCGTTCTTTTTAAAAGCCTGCCTGGTCATGCGCGGTGTCTCAAATCGACCGCACTGAAGAGTTTAAGGGCTGCATTGATACCGGGTGGCGGCGCTGTGGGTTCGATTGCTGTTCTGTCTGACTGGAGTTCGTTTCTAAGTTTTTAGTGCCATCTAACTGACCGGTATTCAATTAGATACATCATTTTATCAAATAGGCTACTACATGGAATCAAAGCAAAATCTAAACATTTGCAAGAACAAGGAATTCATGAAGACCCATTATTTCCCCCCATTCTTTATAGGAACACTGCCGCCCCTCACTCTTCTCCCAGGCTACAAGTTGTAGGGATGATGTCGACCCAAAAGCTATGCATCGTTTCCTGTATCTCTCAGGTGACAGCTATCCTGTAGTCAAAACTAATACTCAGAATTATTCCATATTCTTAAGTATCGGGTAAATGCAATTAACTGTGAAAATAACATTCTAGGCACGAGATTTCTTTAAGGAAATTTTAATTAATAAGCATTATTGATTTTAATTGCCCTGCACCCCTGTACTGGATAAGCAACAAAGATATATTTGCAATCATTCATTTTGTTGTTACAGAATCTCATTGCAGGAATCATGCCACAATATATTTTTTAATTGGTAAGCTCAAAAGTCAAGGAAAGAACCAGATATATTGCACAAAAAGCTTTCATTTCCATAATGAAGACTAAGGCAGTACATCTCCCAACCCCATAGCTCCCTAAATGATTATGATAATTATTCTGAAACATTATACAAAATAACACACTGCACTTCAGAGGAAGCCCAGAAATTTATAACTATTAGAGGAGAAGGAGCATAAGACAGTAAAAGGGATGTTTGCGTTATTTCAATGAGAGACAGCACAGTATCACGCCAAGTGAAGGCAGAAGCAAATTCTGTGTAATTTAACGGATTCACCACCAGAGGGACTCGTTTCCCCGATTTAGTTGATGTGAGGTGATTCAGGCATCGTAGGCCGGTGGTGGGCAGCTCGGCACGTCGCTCAGCAGTGGCTTAAAGTCGTTGTATCCGGAGAACACAAAATTAGCAGCGGTGGGCACTGTCACATCACTCTGGAACCAAAATGTGAGGGGAAGTGGAGAATGGGTGACCAACTCAAGACAGCTAATCTCCTAATCTCCTTAAACCCCACAGTAATAGCATTTACATACGACCTCATGCATGCCAACACAGGTGGGGATCCATGAGAATCTCTCTGATCCATTCCATTCCAAGCTTGCAGAAATAAGCGAGCCCCCCCCAAAATGACACCACCAACGGAGGACCTGCCTGCATGCCACCAGAGGAGAGCCGTATGGCCTTGCGGGCGAGGACAGAGGCGGCGACGGCCACGCAGAACTCGAGGACAGCCAGAACCAGGAGCACTCCTAGAATGCCATACTTTGCGTTCTGTGTGACATGGGGGGGTTGGGGGGTTAGACTGCTATTCCAGCTGATGCAGGTGGAAGCATTAGCACGTGTGGTAGCATTAGCATCAGCTACTGTTCCTCCTGTGTCCAGCTGACACAGCAAATTTATCATTAATGTAACTAACACCTTATCCATACTTTGCCCAAATTAAATGACTGATAAATGAAGCATTAAAGAAAATGTATCTAAATATAGTTTCAAGGAAAATTATCCAAATACTCACAGAGGTATGCAGCTCAATAACACTGGTCAACAAACATTTTGTCACAGAACAACTAAGGTGTGTTTTTTATGTACATTTTTATGCCGATTTCAGAAACATACTCCGCCATTGTTTTTCAGTGACATTTTTTGGTTATACTGATACTATATAATTCCTTATTAATCCTGGATCTTCCTGCAAAATCCTTAAGCACCAGGATACCTCCTTTACCAAGTTCTATCCACATACATGGCTGGTTTTAATAACAGCAGTCAGAGAGGTCCTTACCTGGAAACGCCATCTCATGCCCTGGTAGTCCCAATACATGGCCGAATAATCATCTGAGTTGTAATCCAAATCGGACATGAATCTGTCCGACGTGACTGTTATGGTCAGGGCTAAGCAGGTAATGACGATACCAGTCATAGCCATCAGGGCACAGATGACGTTCATTGCCAGGGTCCCTTTGAGCTGAAGACAAAAGTTACGACATTCACCCAAAGAACTAAGACATCCATCCATCCATCCATCCATCCACCTTCAAACTGCTTTTCCTGGTCAGGGTCACTGGGGGGGGCTGGAGCCTATGCCACGCAGCACCGACAAAAACCTGGGATATGCCCTGGATGGGATGTCGCTCCATCACTGGATGTATAGATGTCAGTTACCCTAACTGCATGCCTGTGAACTGGGGGGTGGGGGAGGGGGTGAGGCAAATTGGCAGGAGACCCACATGGGGAGTCAGGGTGGGATTCAAACCTATTGGAGGTGATAGGAGACAGCACACAACCCACTGAATCAGCACGGTGCTAGCATCGTTCACCCCCTGGAAGGACAGTAGGGTAAATCCAGAACACACACACGCACAAACCTGACATGTGGGGTAAGTGCAAGAAGACATGAGTAATGAATCAATTAGAGCTCACCAAACAGGGACGGTTTCCTTTATGCGCCCCCACGGAGACACAGAGGGCTCCCGATATGATGTACTGCATGGGAAAAGAATGACGGCATGTGAGGAGAGACAGGAGACCCCAGAGAGACCATACAGCCCCATCATACACTCTGACATCTCACGTCAGGTCACATGACTGCACTGCCGTAATCTATTGTGATACAGGGCAGTGCAGATCAGAAAATCCGTTAAGCAAAGGTCTCAGAAATGAGAGACACCTTGTTCTCAAGATCTTATTTAAATCGGAAAAATGGCAACTATGAGCCAAGAGATTTGAAGAGATTTGTTTTTCTACAATGTCTACCACAAGTTGGTGCTGTATCGATGAATTAAGCAAGATGTTCCTTTAAGGACAAAACTCACTAGGTATAGTTTAAAAGTCTCATGCGATAAATCTATTTACCACTGCTCCCGTCCACATGGGGGCCAAGAGGAGAGGTGTTTCGCCGAATAGGAGGATGATACCCAAGGCTGCCGTCAACAGGCCGCTCATGATTTGTATAACCTGAAAGAGACGGATGCTGATATGGCAGGAAGTGGCAGTTTCAAATAAAACAAGACTCACGTCTTCTGAGAAAATACTATTTATAAATATGAAAATGACAAATATCGTTGTCAAATAAATAAGTCTGGTGTATACCTGTGGCCTGTACTACGAAGCGGGGTTACTGGCTTATCGCGGTAACTTGTCGGATTTAAGGTAGTCTGGGCAAAATGTAAGAGAACGAATATTAAGTACATTTAAACTGTGGTAGGCCTACCTTAAATCCGACAAGTTACCCCGATAAGCCAGTAACCCCGCTTCGCACCGTGTTTCCCCGAAAATAAGACAGGGTCTTATATTAATTTTTGCTCCAAAAGACGCGTTAGGGCTCATTTTCAGGGGATGTCTTATTTTCCCATGTACAACAAACTACAGTACATTTACCGGTATTCATAAACAAAAATCCACATTTATTCAAATACAGACATCGTGTCATCTTCTAACCGCATCTTTCCATGTAAACAATATGTTACGGTACATTTATTCATGAACAAAATCTATTGTGTATATACATTTATTCAAATATTGAATAAATATTATTTCCTGTTTATATGCAATCGCATCTCATTCTAGTTACCGTACAATCCATGGGATAATAACTAGGGTTTATTTTTGGAGTAGGGCTAGCTTATATTATGCTAGCTTATAATATAAGCTTATATTACGAGCATCCTGAAAAATCATGCTAGGGCTTATTTTCGGGGAAACACGGTAGTACAGGCCACAGGTACGTCCAAAACGTCGCCAAATTTATTTAGGCCTACATTAAGTGTTCACATTCTCTGGCAGAGGATCGTTGCTCATCTGATTGATCAGGAAGTTTAACTTCCGGCTAAACAACGAACTGGACTTTGGCTGTCCCCAGGGCACGTCAGTGATCCTCACCCCAAGCGATTTCTGTTGACTAGCTGGGTATGGGTTCTCCTTCTTGGGCGATTTGGACTCCGGCTGCACCGATGGTTTATGCTCAGGTTTGGAGTCTATAGGCTGCAGGTTCGCAGGTTCCTCTCCTTTGGGGAAGACCTGAACCACGATCACATGGTCTCCAGCGGTGGTAACAGAAACAGACATGGTGCGACTTTTTAAACGGGAAAGAGAAAGAAAACACGCACTTCAGAAACTAAATCCGATAAAGAAACCAAACAAAAATAAAGAAGAAATCAGGGCAAAAGGGAAGCGCCGATGAGAAACAAGTCACTGGCAGCGCTGTTTTACCACTCCGTGTTGTGAGACACAAACATTATCTTATTTACATTTCTGGAAACATTTAACACTTTGTTGTTGCAAGTCTTTAACTCTCACTCCAACACATTATTGACGGTATAATTTTGTATAAGTCACTAACGAAATTTGCAGAACAACGATATTTAAAATCTCAGTCTTCTGTACATGACGGAAAAGCAAATCTGTCGTCTTTGCGATTGATTTCTGAAATCTACCTCAGTATAACCAGCGACAGATTATTCCGTATTTTCTGTAGTATATAATTAACGTGGGCGTTCTCTGACACAATATACTGTATAGATACTACTTTGCATTTGGTTGTAAGTCAGATATGCTTGTTTCTTGTGTCATACTTCACTTACTTACGTCTAATAAATAAATAAATACATGTTAAGCTAGTTTCGCGTTTTAAACGCCCTTTCGCGTTGGAATTTCCGTAAAGGTTGTGTAATCATATCATCTTGGTTTCTTTTTAGATAATGAACCTCTTTTCTTGAATCTGCGTTTTTTGCCTTTTAAAACCTAGGATACCTAGCAACTTTGGAAACAACTTTAAAATGGTTAAAAACAGCCAGTTCATACCACCTCTTCAACCCGACGTCTTCCTTTTCCTATTCTGCAGAAAGTTTTCGATAAGTTTGTCCGTCTTTCCCACTGCAGCGAACGCGAGTCATCTAACAGAGAAATACCCGATCATTTCCAGTCACAGTCTCCACCCCTTCAGTTATTGCAAGTATTTAGTTATAGCATATTTTGACTGCTATAAAACACGGAAATGAGCTGGATAACGGCGCTAATGCGAAAACACTGCATTACAGCGTTAACAGGCATGAACGATCCCACTTTGGGGGC